AAAAAAGAAAAAAGAAAAAGAAAGCAAGAAAGGGAAAAAAGACCCCAAAAAGCGGATATTGCGGAGGAAAAATGGTGAGTCATTCACATTTCGGCTTTAAATTAACGATGAATGAATACATTTTGCCATCTTTGAAAAGAACCTCAACCTTTTCCGCCTTGACATGTATTATGACTCTTTGTTTTCACCGTGTTTGTCAAGGGTATTTACGATGTTGACGGCACCCAGGACCAGCCTAAGACGCCCAGTAGGAACCCTCGTGGCGTTCCTGGTAACCCTCGCTGCCTGTTCACACTACGCTCCTTGTGAGTTGTGACTTTGTTATCATTGCCCGTTAAATGATATTTAGATTCTGTTTGTTCGTTTTTGTTTTTCTTGTTGTTACTTGTTACTTGTTACTTGTGTGAAGGACCGAAATCACTGCACAAGGGGCATCCCCATAAGCGCTCCGTCCCCTGAAGAAGCACATCTCGAAGTGTGTAGATGCTGACGGTTCCAAGCAATGTTTGATTCCATAGTCTTCTGCTCCTCCCAATAAGTCTTGAACTTCTGCAGGCGCCTCATCCAATTCCAAGCTCTTGTTGTTATTTTGCTTTTATGTAGGAGTTTTTGACGCCCCCGTCGATACAAGTTATATCATTTAGGAGGCGGGCTTCCGACCCTGCCTGTCAAGGTCAACCCGGTCTGAGAGGGATACAACATCCCGGCAGAAAGACCGATATACTCGATAAAATTATTGTTCTTCCCACTCGGGAATCGAACTCTGGTCTCCTGTGTAATATGTTGCGCTCTGTCACAGGAGCCAAACTTAAGGTCTACAGGCAACACCCGGTCTTGCGATCAAATTCTATCTGGTTGAAATGAGAACTTTGGGTAGTCCATCCTGAGAATTTCAGTTATACCGAACTTAACTTAAAACATAAACGAACTTGCTGCCAAGAAAAGATGCCAAACATCTATCTGCCAAACATCCAGCTCAGACAAACTGACATATGAGCGAAAATCGATTTGCCTTGATTTACGTATTATTGTAACATTTTGTCAAGTTTTATTCATAACATTCTTTAAAAAAGGTTGAGTTTTCCACTGTCAAAGAGTATTTATCCAGTTCGACCCGCGGCGATAAGTGCAGTTTGGGTAAACGACCCTCTGAGCGATCGAGTTTTACAATAATGCAGTAAAGCGTCCATGCTGTCTGTCTGTCTGTTTGTCTGTCTGTCTGTTTCTCATTCTCTGTCCCTGTCTGTGTCTCTCTCTGTCTCTCTGTCTCTGTCTCTCTCTGTCTGTCTGTCTGTCTGTCTGTCTGTCTGTCTGTCTCTCTCTCTCTCTCTCTCTCTCTCTCTCTCTCTCTCTCTCTCTCTCTCTCTCTCTCTCTCTCCCCGTCTCTCCTCCTCTGTCTCTCTGTCTCTCTCTCTCTCTCTCTCTCTCTCCCTCTCTCTATCTATCTATCTATCTATCTATCTATCTATCTATCTATCTATCTATCTATCTATCTATCTATCTATCTATCTATCTATCCCCCCACTCTCTGCCTGCGTCTGTTTTTCTTTCTGTGTGTAATTCTCTATAATAAATTATTCTGTTTACAAATCTCTATCAGATTCTATAGAGTGGTTTTCAGCAGTCACTGTTCGCCACCCTTTTCAGCTTCCATTCTTGAATGAGAGCAGTCTGAAGACTTGACTTTCTCTCAGATGGCTTTGTTCATAGTTATGTGTTTTACGTCAGTCACCACAGATTCAGAGTCATCAGAGGGGGCTCTCGTGGCCTAGAGGTTAAGGGTTGGCCTCTCATTCAAAGGTCCCGGGTTCGAATCCGGGTCATCATCATCATCCGGTGCCTTGCCGACTGGCGTGGAGGATCATGGACCTCCACTTCACTCTGTCTTGCGTTGCAGCAATCGTGTCTGTTGTTCTTGCTGCTCCTAGCCATGTTGTCATCTTGTCCAGTATCTTTTCCCTCTGTCTGCCTCTTCCTCTCTTTCCATCAAACTTGCCTGTTGATACAATATTCTCCAATGCTTCTTTCCGCATTGTGTGTCCAAAGACATTTGCCTGTCGCTTTCTTATATTCATCATAAGTCGAATCCGGGTAGCGACCGAAACATTTTTTTCTCTAAAATGGTCTCCTTTCACCTCCTTTCCTGCTCTCTAGTTTACTTTCAGGATTTTCTATTCTTTTATGACCTCACGGGTTCCGCGTTCATGTTGCAAGATAAAATCACTTCTTTATTATTATTATCACCATGCACCATCATATAAACCATCTATGTAAGGTAATTAATCTAGAACTACGCAGAATAGGACAAATATCAACATATCTTAGTGTTGATTCCATCAAAACCCTCATCTCTACTTTTGTCCTTTCACGTCTAGACTACTGCAATTCTTTGTTTGGAAACCTTCCCACTGAAATGTTAAATAGATTACAGCGACTCCAGAACCAAGCTGCTCGCATAATTTTAAAGAAATCTCTCAAAGAGCATATAACACCAATGCTAGTTCAACTACATTGGCTCCCGGTGAAAGCACGAATTCAGTACAAAATAATTGTTCTTTGTTTTAAGTGCGTCAACAACAGTGCACCATCATATCTTTGTGACATGGTCATCGAATACATACCACCGCGGCCTTTAAGATCGGCAACGAAAAGATTTTTAAGACCTGTCCAAAGTAAAAGTCGGAGACTCGGAGGGAGAGCTTTTTCACACCACGCCCCCTCCTTGTGGAACGCTTTACCAGCTCATCTACGGGAGTCCACCACTTTATCAAAATTTAAATCGGCACTTAAAACGCATTTGTTTCAGTCCAGCTTCAATCTGTAATTTCCGACATTCCCAATACAAATATTATATATTCTCTCAGTATCTATTATGTTCTCTCAGTATCGTTTATTCATGCTGTTCTGTTCTGTAAGAATTTATGACTGTGTGAATTCATCAATGTGTGCGAATGTGTCTGGGTAAGCTTTGTGGGATTGTCTTTACTCAAGAATGTACTGGAGAGAGGGAGGGAGGGAGAGAGAGAGAGAGAGAGAGAGAGAGAGAGAGAGAGAGAGAGAGAGAGAGAGAGAGAGAGAGAGAGAGAGAGAGAGAGAGAGAGAGAGGATTACTAGAGGGGCTGTGCGCTTCATATGTTCTTTATATTATTGTACAGCGCTTTGAGCACTTCTTTGTGGAAATGCGCTATATAAATGCAATTTATTTATTTATTATTTATTTATTATTATTGTTATTTTTATAATTAATATTATTGTTATTTTTCAATGTATTATTATTATTATTATTATTATTATTATTATTATTATTATTATTATTATTAGTTTACCATTTTCCAGACAAGTCTTGTAACCAGCCCCTCGACCTCATCTTTGTTTTCGACAACAAGTCGTGCATCACGATGGCTCGTGACGTCATTGTTCACTACAAGTCCTTGCTCACCCCGGAAACGAAACTTCGCTTCGGCGTTGCTTACTGCATGAAAAACCAAGTGGAACATACAGGTAAGATGTAGAATAATTCGACAGCTTATGGGTTCGACGTTCACAGTGACTTGATTTGTGTGTGCGTGTGTTTGTGTGTTTGTGTGTTTGTGTTTGTGTGCATATATTATAATATATATTATGCCATTTATAAATATATACACATGTATATTATATAATATTATATATACATTATATATATATACAAACTTCAACAAAAGTAAAGGACCACTTGCAAACACACTGAGTGGTCTTCTTTGGTCGACCTGCACGTTGGCGTTCTTGGACTGATCCACTGGCCTCAGGCGGACAGTGACAGGGTGTGACACTGCAAGCCTCCTGGCAACTTCTCGGGCTCCAACTCCATCCTGCGCGCTATGCCATAGCTCTGGCATGATCAAAGTCTCTCTGCTTTCGTCTTAGTGACATGTTGATGTGAAACTGGATTTTACGCAAACGGTGGCTTATATTGCCACCAAATTGAGCTCAGTTCGAGACCGTACGTCCTTCAATAACATGCACCAGAAATTTAAACTGAGGAATGTCCGTGCTATCGCACACAAGTCGATAAAAAACAGCAAATTTAGCCAAAATTCCCCGAGGGGATTTCCGTGCTGCAGGTGGTGGTTTTGGTCCTTTCGGGGGCTTTGCAGTGAGCATTGGTAACCCATTAACACTTTCAGACTAAAAATTTAGAAACATTCCTTGCTGTCTTTTTTTTTGGATAAAAAAAAAAAATTCAGGACTGTCTGTCAAGGTGGTCCTTAACTTTTGTTGAAGTCTGTATGTATGTATATATCTCTATCTGTGTGTGTGGGGGGGGGGGCATGGTAATTTGGATTCATGTGCTCATGTGGAGTTACTGATATCATCTAAAAAGCGTATTCATTTATTTTGCTTTCAATGAAAAAAACAATTTTAGCCCTTGAACAGAAGTCAAGATAACTGTGATTAAATGAGTCGCCTGTTGTCAGGGGTAAAATTAGCAAGAAAAATATGATCACCAAAGTGTGGTGACTTTATGAGCTTGACTGTCCTAATTAATTGAAACTCAAAATTTACATTTTTGTGCCTTTGATCAAAGTTTTAAAATAAAGCCCACAAAAACATGTTTTTAAAAGTAAATTTAAAAGGCGTTTAGTAAAAAAAAATCTGATAAAAATTGCTCAATGGTGGAAAAATGTCATTTTCTTTGATTACATTTTTTTTGACGAGGGCCTGATTTCTCCACGATGTCTCTCTCTCACACACAGACATACACATACACACACACACACACACACACACACACACACACACACACACACACACACACACACTTGCATGCTCACACACACTTGCATGCTCACACACATGCACGCACATGCATATACACACATACACACGCACACACACAGACGCACACACACAGACGCACACACTCACACACACACTCACACACACATACACACACACACACACACACACACACACACACACACACACACACACACACACACATACACAAACTCTTGACGTGATCTAAGAATGGTTATCAACATTCATATTTTGTCAAGCTCCAGTGTAGACATACGTATAAGTCCATTTTCTCCAGTTGCATTCCATTCACACACACACCTGCACCTCCCCCCAAAAAACCAGCAACAACAATAACGAAAAATCTACGTATAATTATACTGCTAGTTTTAAAAGAATGATAAAATAAGATCTAAATAATGATAATAATAATAATAATAATAATAATAATAATAATAATAATAATGATAATAATAATAATAATAATGAAAGCAGGAAGGAAGGGAGAAAGGAAGGAAGGAAGAAAGCAAGGAAGGAAGGAAGGAAGAAAGCAAAGAAGGAAGGAAGAAAGGAAGGAAGGAAGGAAGGAAGGAAGGAAGGAAGGAAGGAAGGAAGGAAGGAAGGAAGGAAGGAAGGAAGGAAGGAAGGAAAATAAATAAATAAATAAATGAATAAATAAATAAATAAATAAATAAATAAATAAATAAATAAATACAATCCACCCCTCAGGTCCCGACTCTGAGTTGTCCCACCTGCTGATGACGACAGAAAACCTGCAACACGCTAGCGGGGTGGAGCCTATAGGTACACACGACTCCATCCATCTGCCGGACGGGGCGGGGTATCGGGCAGAGAACACGCCCTATCCTGTGTTTGAGGTCACGGACATCAGGTCATCGGCGGGCTCCTGTCTCAAGACGGTGTGTGCCACCCATAGATTTACACTTCTAGGCATTTTCTTCAAAACATTGATCTGGATTTAATCTGTCTAAATTCGTATCAATCTTATTCTTACCAGTGAAAAGAAAGAGGGGTTCCCTTTGAGGCTTTCTTAGTGCACTGATAGACACATCAGTGTTGCTCCATCCTTTCTGGTCTCGTTTTCTTCAGTCTTCCACTTCCTGGCTAATCGGACGTTTGTTGGTAAGAATTTACCCTGAGAAAGTCTTAAAGGCTGTAAGACGTTAATCCAGAAAGGGGCTAGATCTAGAGGTTTCAAATGCTTGCACTTTTAAAAGAATCTCTTTGGATTAAAATACAACGTTATAATCTAATAAAACACTTTCCAGAGCAGAGACACGCCCACTCACATGTAAACAAACTTCTTTGCCAAAACGAAAATGGCCGCCGACCAACTCAAAAGTTTCCGTGTCACGTGACCTCGAACCAGCTCTAGTTTTAAAAGGAATTAACTCTGTGGTGCCACCTGTATGTCAGTTGGGAACAGGGTGGTGGGAGGTGTAGGCGTAAGTGCCGATCACAAACTTGGTTCAGGGCTGATGAACCTACGTGTATGATCCAGGATTTCTGAAGAAACTTTTAAAATATTGATTGTTTCTTTTTGTTTGTTTGTTTGTTTGTTTCGGTCCCAAGTCCTATTTTTATGGGTGTCAAATGTCAGTTTTATATAGGACATAAGATTGTTAGATAATGTCATGGTTGAAAACCCATTTTAAAGTTGCCGCTGTTGATGACGTTGATGTAGTACATTGGTTGGTTGGTGTGCAGTGCAAGTGGCAGGGTTAGGCTTTATTGTAAATGCTTTTCACCACCACGGACATGGTTTTGATTATTCAAAAGGCACGCTGATCAAAGTTAAGACACCCCCGGGGCAGTGCCACTGACTGAAGTGTCTTTAGGCCATTCCCAAAGGGGGGACATTTCTCGTTCAAGCATAGTAGAATTGTAAATGGGCTGACTCATGTCACGATCATAACTGTGCCTGATCTACAACAGGGAACTGCTGCATTTTCTTTCCTGATCCTTACTATTGTCATTATCCTCTACTTCTTTTGTATGTTTGTCACTCTCTTGTGACCTGCTATTTTGGGGTGCCTTGATAGTCGAAGCAGACCTTTTTCTGTTGAAGCTAGAGAGGTGAGCAGTCTAAGTCTGATTCCTTGTAAAGACTTCTCTGTTGACACCCACCCCTTGGCGCTCATATGGCCCTAATAAAAAAATAAAAAACTTAAGACAGAGTGAGTTAAAGCATCCCAGCAGATAAATAAAGATACTTCATGAAACATGAAACTCATGTTGTATGCTCACAACACGGAAAAACATAATCATGTGTATACTGGCGATTAAAAGAAAGGTTCCACTTTTTGATTGCGTAAATAATCTAGATTTTTTAGTTCTTACACCTTTCTTTTCACATTAGTAATGCTAAGTAGTCTAAAATGTAAGCCATGTCATTTAAAATAACAGTCTGATTTGTCAATGCTCACAGTACTAACGTAAAAAAACAAACGAAAATTGGCTCTTTTCCCCGACCATGAGATGTATATTTTCTATTACTTATATTTGTGTTTTAATGAAGTTTAGGGCTTCGTTCATCAAAAACTACAATAATATTAAATTGTCACCCAAGACAAATGGTAGGTTTAACTCAAAATCAGAGAAATCGAGCAATCGGCGCCTTCAACAGGGTTCGACTCTTGCCAAAACATTAAAATTTAACAGTAAAAGAAAACTAACGTTGGCTGTCCTGGCAATAGCAAAAACACGCGGAGCATGCCGATTGCT